AAGGGTTTGGCTCTCCCCTTCCCCAAGAACTTTTCTTCTGTGGTTGGGAAGGATTGAGCCAAGGTGGGAGATGCTTCAGTAAATGGGAGGGGGGGAGGGAGGGAGACACAAGGTGGGTTGAGATGGGACGTCAAAAGGGTAGGCACACACGAGAGACACAGAGAGAGATAGAGAGAGAGATAGAGAGAGAGAGAGAGAGAGAGAGAGAGAGAGGGGTAATCAACGTGGTGGCTCCCTCGATGTTGGGACGTGAGGGGAGACCGACATTACCTGTTGTTCGGGTCTTTTTGGAGTGCGTGTGATAAATTTCATGGGAAAGTGTGGGGGCCACGTGTTGTCCTCTTTCATTTTGGCAATTACAATTCTATTATATATATATATATATATTGTGAAGTTAATTCATTATTATCCTAAATAATTGGTTAAGATATACTGAGATTTTTAATTAAATTTTAATTAAGGTTATCGATGAATAAAAAAAATTTATTTATGTTAGAATTCATCTTAGGAAATGATATGGGAGAAACTCTCCTAATGACCTTTTTAATCTTTTGCTTTGGCCAAGATTTCTTCTCTCATCTTCCGATAAATATTTATTCCTTCGATTATAATAATCATGAAAATAAGAAAAGAGAAAAAAAAATTTAGCTTCTTTTGTATGCAAATTAATGATGCATGTAGATCATCACGGTATATTGCTTTGTCACATCTGAAATTTAAAAGAGACACACATGTCTTGAATAATATGTGATACTTAATTTTAATTCTAACATTAAATTTTTATATAGTAATTTTATTTCTTACATTCATCCCTATCAAAGTAGACACAATTGACATATGTTCCTTCCCTTGTCTTTTTCTAAGGAAGATGGGGCTTCTCATAATGACCTTCGTATAGGATTAGTTGGGACAGTGTCTCTTTAATGTACATTTAATCACCATTTTAGGATAATAAAAATGCATTTGGGCTTCTTAGTCCTTATCAAACTTAGGGTGAAATGTATAATTATCATTGTAATCTTGCTATGATTTTTCCTTGTCTCTCATGTTGATTTCTCATCTCCTACTATATTTTCTTTTTGCTATTTATCATGGTCAAGTAAGGGTTTTCACATGAAAATGTCAATAAAGATAAACATCATTTATGATCCAATAAAAATGCTATCTATTAGTGTTTGCCTGGTTAAGATTTAATTCTCATAGGAGATTATTGTAGTAGATGAAAAATTGATGTTAATCTTCTCCAAGTGCTTCAACTTTCATCACATTTATGAACAAAATTGAAGTTTATATACAAGTCCTCTTACATGCACATAATATAGGGAAGGATCATAGCAATTTTAACTCAATGTTTAGAGTTAATTTTATAGATAAAATATAAATAATGCAATTTATAAACTTCTTTAAAAGATTTGATAGGTTTTGGTCCAAGAAAAAGTTGCTTCACTAAACCCAACTAACTTGGCTTGGGTGCTTCTAACTTGAGCTAGGTTAGAGTTGGATAACCTTAACTTGACCTAAGCTTGAATTAGGTTAGGGTTGATTTAGTTGAGTTTACCATATATTTTTTGCCAAATACAACTCAAGTATTCGATCAAATCTAACCGATTCCAATCGATCTATACTCGACTTGAATCTTAGTTGACTTAAAATTTTTACGAGTGTGAAGTTAATTTTAATTTTTTACTTTCAGTAAGATAGGGTTATTTTTTCTAAGATAAAGATCTGAATCTTAGAATATCACATGCATTCAGTCAGCATTTTTGCATATTAATTTTTACCACCCTTAGATAATATAAAATATTAAAGAATCACTTTCATTATTTGGTTAAAAATAATAATGTTATAAACAATAATAACAACAATAATGTCCCAACCATTTAAGATCATTCATAAGAATCTATTGACATCATTGAGATCTACAGAAAACTATATTTTTAATTAAATAAAATATTTTTAAAAAATATTTATAGTTTTCTAAAATCTTTGTAGGTCTTCTTTGATTACATCTTCTAATAATTTGTGTTTTTTTTTTGTTTGAACAAATGATTTCAATTGTCGTATGTTATGTCTTTTTATATATTTTGTTTTTTTTTGTTTTCTCAAGATTATATTTCGTTTTTCATGGTTAGAGTTGAGATAAATGAGACAAAACCATAGCCGTATGATTTCCTTGGGAATTCGTGGTGGAAGGTTGATACGATAAGATTGGCTTTTGAGTTGATGCTACCAAAAGCTTGGATGTGGGTACAATTCTCTCATGCCTTTTTGTCACATTATTCTCTTACACAGTATTTTAAAGAGAAAATATGAGAGAACAATCAAACAATACCTTTCAAGTTAATTAATAATAATAATAATAATAATAATAATAATAATAATAATAATAATAATAATAATAAAGTGATATTAATAAAGATAATAGCCAAATTGTCTTCATCATTCATTTTTGGGTTCATTTTAGAGCAATATTCACTTGCAATATTTTAACAAAAATGATTTGGAGTTTTGACATCAATCGCTTCACCGACAAAGTGGAGAACTCCTCTAAATCTTGTGTGGGCTCAGAAGGACATCCACATTCATGATTTCTGATAAGATAGATTGAAGGGAATAATCTTTCTGATAAGATGTATTTGGTGCAGCATGAGCAAGACATGTTGTTTTCTGAAATGTAAAAAGCTAATATTTTTCTCCTTATTTTTTCTCATAAAAGTTTACCTTCACCAAGTAAAAGAATAAAAAATAATAAAAATGGCAACATCAACTGCTGACTTTTGTTTCATGAAACAAAAACTTCACAAAAGAAAGATCATATAAATCTTTATTCTTTTTTTTTCTTTTTAAAGGATGTCAGATTGACAGGGAGGGCAATTGAGCCACTGATTGACTCCCCTATTGTGTATGTTAAAGGATACTTTTGTATTTGTTTTTGTAAGTAATTAATTTTCTTTTCTTCATAAAAAAAAAGGAAGGAAGAAGATGAAGATGAGATTCCAAGCTAATTGAAGAAGAAGAAGAACAAGAAGAAGAAGAACAAGAACAAGAAGAAGAAGAAGAAGAAGAGGGGAACAGTCTCACTGCACAATTTATTGCAAAGCACAAGTGCAAGCACTACTAGAAAAACACTTGGTGTGTTAGCTCCAAACTGGTAATGTCGATTGTTTAGTGTGCATTCCTTCCATGAAGCTAACATTTATTTTCTCCTCCCTTTGAGCTCTAAAGTGTGCAGCAGAATCCAATGCTGGTGAGAGGCTCCTCCATGCCTCACCACAAACATGTTTCTCCAAGATCCCAAACAGTGGCATTGCCACCCCCCACAAATCTCTCCCTTTTGATGGACACACTGTTGCTATTTTTGAGCTGACCCTACCACAGAGGATTCCTTCAATCATTCAGGGAGTCTTGCAATCAATTGATAGCTCTGAGGGAGAATTCCCAGTTCCTTCTTAGTTATTGTAGTAGGCAATCTTCTTAGTTATTGTTTGAGAGACGCAACAAGTGAAGTTCTATTGTTTATGATTAACATTTATGGCTTGACAGTATATATTTGAGAATTATGCTTAATTCCTTGATAAATTTTATTGGAGAAATAAGATTACGGAAAACCAAGGTCATCTCGGAATTATGCGAACGCGAGAATGGTCGATGTACGCAATCTTACCCTTTGGAAAACTAGAAAACTAGCGCGATGTCGAAGTCATCTCGATAAGCGAATGAAAGGGAAGCTAATTGGTGAATGGTCAATATGCATAAATAGTGTTAATTTTTCTTGCAACAAAAAGAGATATCAGATAATAAACCGACAACCTCATGCAAGCTGAGGTCATTTTGGGGGTTTATAGTTTCATCACAGCATCAAAATTCAGCTACAAATCATTGAAAGACAAGAAGTTGGTCATGGATTAACAATTCATGTTTCCATGGTCAAGTGAAGGATGGAGAGCTTCTTGGGTATTATTCCTGAGGTAGATGAAACAGACGAAAGAGGTTGAGCTTGATGCTTCACAGGTTGAAAAGTGATGCTTCAGTTGGCAGAAAGGAAATGACTTGAGAGAAGGAACAGCTCCAAAAAGAAGATGACAATGTGTGAAAGATTTAGGTGTCTTTTTCTTTCAGCAAACAAATGTTCAATTGTTGCATTTATTTTCCATTTTAATTTTATATTTTCATATGATAGATAGGATATTTGTTTAAATAAAAATTAATTCTCTTGTTCTTCATGATTGACGTATATACGTTCTGTCGCTTAGAATTCCATTACCCCTTCCCGTTTCAGTATTGGATATCAACTTCTCATTTCAGTAAAGATGAGATTGTTCTTTGATCTTTTGCTTTCTCTTCTGTTGCTCAATCTGCAAGATGTAACACAAAATATAATTCTAATCAATTGAGAGAGAGTGGAATGGGCAATCACTCATGATAGTGATCTACAGAAACCTATTCAACAGAACCCACCTTGAGATGTTGATTCCTTCCTCTGCAAATTTTTTGGCATGGCCCACCTCCTCCCACGCTTAATAATTGTTTCTTAATGTTGAAGAAATTGCAGTTTGATGTATTAAATGTTTGCCAAATTGTCAAATTATCTAACGTTGGAGCTCTATTTCCACCAAATATTATCATTGACCTCAGTTGAGAGAGAATGGACAACTCAAATTTAATTGGTAGACTTGTCTGCGTCCTATTGATTTTTGGAGCCCTACCAATCGCAGTTAGGTCAAAAAGAGATTTATCTCAACATGAAAGATGATAATGCTACTGAAATGCAATGGACATATACACCATGCAGCATATGCCTGCAAATTCTGTGTGGACCATGTCCTTTCCCTTTTGAAACTCATGATTCATGCTATAGTCATTTTAAGTTGAATGTTGATGTTGATCATCACAGGAAAAAAACCATGTTGATGTTGATCATCACAGAAAAAAAACCATGTTGATGTTGATCATCACAGAAAAAAAACCATGTTGATGTTGATCATCACAGAAAAAAACCAGATTCCAACGTGACAAGACTTCAAGATTCTCAAAAAGTAACAGGACAGGCAGAATGAGTATCAAATTGAACTGTTATGGCAATAAGTTCTGTGTTAATATTATAGACATACAACAGTAATAACTCTTGTACTTTTTCGATCCACGAGGATTCAGATAGTTCACCTAGCATCTTCCTTTTCAGTTTCATGTTCAGAAGCTGTTGATGGTCTCTATTGATCCAACAGTCAAAACCATCCAATGATGCTGGAATCAGTTAACTTGTGCTGGAATCAGTCAAAACCATCCAATAGACATACCCGAGTTATGTTACAAAAATCATAAGCAGCAGCACTCTCGAGAAGCTGAATACAACACCATCACTGTATCTCCAGAAATCCTGTCTGCCTAGCTTATCAGCTTTTCACGATACTTCATCACTGGAATATTCTTCGGTTACTGTAGATTGGTAATCCAAGGGGTTGCAATTATTTTAGCATAAGCCACCAATTTTCAACCCACTCATGCATTGTACACAGTGGAGATCATGATCAGGCGTTTGGCCAGCTTACCAGCTACCAGGCTCGGCCATTGCAGCACAGGCCCAAGCAAAAAAACAAGATTGCACTCTAAAGATCAGAAAGTGATTAAATGCAATAGCACTTGATGAAAGAAAAGCATTTGCAATGTAGGCACTTAATCCCATGATGTCACGGACAGTGCCACCCAAAGATCGTTGGACGTTCCCTGTATATACATCCGATGTGTCTGAATTTCCTCCATGGTGGCCATAGGAATGCTGCTACCGTAGTGACTATCTTCTACTCGATCATTGATTGAGAATATTATTTCTCTTAAAATAGGTTCATGCCCATTTAGAAGATTGCCCATGCTCAAAACTTTCCTCCATGATTGATTGGCGGTGGGGGGAGGAAATAAAATGGATACAGCATCTCTCTCATGCATCATCACTAATTGCTTGGTTTTGAACTCCTAAACAGGTTTAAAAAAGAAATTTATACAATCAACCAAAAGCTTTTCATGCTAGTGTACTTATAAGACATTTTGAAGGTGAACACTCATGGAATCAGTTGTTTACAAATGGGTTTTTCATAATTGATGAGAGTCAGGCTGGGATGAGACAGAATACCTATTGTCCTTTATGAAATTTATATTCATCATCTAGAAAACATCTAAAACCTAAACATCTGAGACCATAAGAATCAAAGAAATAACAATTAAAGATGATTTGTAGATGTCCAAAGATGATTTAGACCATTAGTATGATGCATATGCACCAGCTTGTCACCATGCAAGTTTACTAATGGATGAAACAACTTACTTCATCAAAAAAAGGAAAAACAAAAACAAAAACAATAGTACCTGGTCATAGCAAATGCTCTCTAAACTGGTACCCATTTTGGGAAGATAAAAGTTGAAATAGTCACTGAACATTGCTTCAGAAAGGCGTGGGACATCTAATAGCTTACGGTGGATTGAAGCTGCAAAAATTAGTAGTTTCTCTATGTGCTCGAATACAAGGCAAAGCCGTCTTAAATCACCTATCAACTCTGCCTTTTCACGAAGATGATTTGCTGTAAAATGTACAGAGTCAGTACTCAAAGTTGCATGTATCTAAATAATAATACTTAAAATATTGTACATTAGAGTTAATAATAATTTTCACCACAGCCCATGAACTTTTAGATAGATGGAGCCCACTGAATAGGCAAGCTGCAGGCTTGTGACTATAACTGGAAGAAGTTAAATGGTAGAATCTATGCTACTTTAAGTGGACTTTTAATGGACCATCCAAACCATTAGTAACTTACATAGGACCATCCAAACATATATCGGATAAGAAACAATGATCTACATCAGTACTTAAAAGGAATAGATTTTTGATGAACTATAAGATCAAATTACAACTACAGAATCTACTTGTTCTCTCAAAGACAACTATTTAACTTATAGAGTCAAATCACATACCTTGCAAAGGCTTTAAAGTTGATGCTAGTGTAATGTAAAGCTGATTAAACCTTGTCTTCATGGGTTTAAAATCACCATACATGGTTTGGTTCAGAATGTCAGCTGATGCTCTGAAGGCAGTGCAAACCATTTGCTCAAGCAGCTGATGTGGTTTCAAAGTTTCAAGATAATGGAGTATCTATTGCAAAAGAAGAAACACTTCAGTGGCAGAAAATAATGTTGATCTTAACAAGCACAGATTAACAGTTATAGCTGCCACAATTAGACTTACTAAAAGCATACAGAACACAAAAGAATGCACCCACCTCTTACATCATAAGCAAGCATTTTTCCATGGATGCCTAAACTTACCCATATGTGTCAAATTCAGATCAAACATGTACTTAAAAACAGGTTGGCAATAAAATTTCAGTTTTCTTCATGCTAGATAGACGCAGAACAACTACCCATAAATCACATAAGATAACATTGGAAGAGAAGTTCATTTAATAGGAAACAAGGACAAAATATAATGTGTGCTGCCAGGTTGCTTCTTGAATTTTCTGTTATCTTTCTCCTATGGTGAAGAGCTTTTTCTCAGTAGCATTCTATAATCATTTTTTATTTGTATAACTTTCCTAATGTTTTAAATCCATCAGACTAGTAGGCATTGAATGTTGCACCTCTTGTGCTGCATGCTCTTATAACCAAGGTTTACAGTTTCGAATAATACCGCCCAGTATGGGTGGTATATACCGGTCCGACAGGATACCGGTATGCGGACTGCTCGCTACCAGACGGTACCGTCGATTGGGGCTGTTTCCGCCTCGGACGGTGACCGAGGGAGAAGAAAGAAAGGGAGAAGGGTGGTATTAAGCGAGGGACGAAAGAACAGGGAGAAGAAGAGGAAAACCTGGAGATCGGCGCCGCTCTCCCCCCTCGTTTGTCGGCGACTTTTCTCGGCGTGGGGAGAAGAATCCGCGATCGCAGGGAGAAGAGAGGCGATGTCGCGGGCAGAAAAGAGGAGATGTCGCCTCGTCGTTTTTCTGCAATGTCGCCTCGGCGACATAGGAGAAAAAATTTTCTTTTCTGCCCACGTGGGGAGAAGAAAGTTTCTTCTCCTAACGCACCAAAAAGGGCGACAAGGCTGTCGGTTTTTTTTTTATACTTTTATATATACTGAGTGGTATATCGAATTGTACCGCTCGGTATACAGTATCGTACCGTACCGAACAAGTCTCGAAACTTTGGTACGGTACGAAATTTCAATCCTTGCTTATAACTAAAGTACTTCATGCAGTTCATATGCAAGCAAAATCTCGCTTTCTGCATACATGCTCTTATACACAAAAACAACTCTCCAGTATTGCATATTTCCAATGGATCAAAAGTAACTCCGACAATCACATCTTATCAAACACATTTAGAAAGTCGACACCTTTGATCGTTTTCCTAGTCCATCACCAACCTTTTTGCATGAAACCGGTGCAGAAATATCATAAAAATGAAGTTTATCATTCGCTATAGCAACACTGCTATGCACCACTAATATCAGCAGTTGGAAAGGTTTCTTTCGGTTAGATTGAATCACAGAAATAACCACCTTTACTCGTAGCAAGAAAATGCTATTTGCACAAACCAACATCAAGATATTCAAAGATAGACAGCCTTCAACTTATTTTCATAATTAATACATAATTATGTACCAATATTCAGATCAGGAATGTTGCTTTAACTCATAAGCTATCATGTAAGAACCATCTTTGCACATTTAAAGAAACATCTCTTTCTTTCTCCATTGATAAATTGATTCTGCTGCAGCTGATATATACTAGTCTGATTAAAACCAAAATGACTTTCAATTTTGAGAAAACCACCAATTTGATTTGAAGATGCGTCAGACCTTCAAGATAGGGTGATTTACACAAAGTTCCCTTTTTGAAACCACCCATTTGCTCTCAAACTGTATCTGATCTCTTTTGATGATTCATAGCAAATTGGCCCCCGAGAATTCCTTGCAACTTTTTATATTAGAAGAAGCATAACCTCTTATCTTGACTTTTCTGGCAACTAAGTTAGAAATCTTGGGAAGAATTATAATTCCACAGCAATATAACTCATTCATTTCACAACAAAAATTGTCACTTTCATTACTCAGTTCAGAGGAACCTGATTTTGGTCCAATATGTGGTTAGAACTTAGAAGCACCAAAATATCATGATCCAACAATAGTACATGCGGTTGTGCAAAATATCATGATCCAACAAGGTACATTTAACATATTAATCATGAATTTTCACACTACAGTTTGACTAGTCGATGATGTCAATACTGTACTCTGCAATTTCATGGCTATTACTCATATCTAACACATTCATATGATAATTATTACTTTGCAACAAACTAGCATGAAGCTATTGGAAGAGAACCTTAACTGTAGAAGTTGAAAAAAAAGATTTGTGACCCAGTTACCCTAGCAAGATTAGTACTATGTAAGAGTGATGAATTAAAACATATAAAATCTGTAGCACTAAAATGTAAAAAAATGATAAAGTACGTACCTTTTCTCCTTCTCGAATTGGGTCAAGAAGGGACTTCTGCTCTAACACTGGCAAAGGTGGAGAATCATTCCAAATTTGTCGCCATAAATTCCCATGTTCAGACATGCGCTGTGAAAGTTTTCCTCGAGGAGGCCAGTTATTTCCATCACCTGCGCAGCCGTCCATGTCATCATTCTCCCAGTCACCAGGTGAATGCCACCGAATAAAATCCTCAAACACTGCATCTGGGTTTGCAGCCTTGAATGCTGACATGTCTAGTACAACAAAATTGTGAAACATCAAATATAATTCATTCATAATTTTCTAACTTATACATATTTTTACAAAGAGTGAGGTGAGTCAATAGGTTTAGTGGTGCAAAGAAAGAGAGAAAGACCTAAAAAAGTTTTTACAAGATACAATAAAGGGAGACTTGATTGTTCTTAGATAACGAAAGATATCAATCCAAAAAGAGATCAATAGCAAGGAAAATACCCATGTAGGTGACCTTAAATAGATGGTACATAATGAATTATTGTTGTAGTGCTTGCAATTTCACTAGAAAGAGCAGGGCTCTTAATCCAAAATCAAATTACAATTGATAACAGCAGCTTATCAGCACTTGATGATGTGTTAAAAGTAATCATGATTTCTCAATTAATAAACTCAACAATAGTTTCCTGTGAACAGAAAAAGAAGAAAATAGGAAAAATGAAAAAAAAAGAAATTAACATATATATAAGTATAACAATAGTACTGTTAAAAACACAACTTTGTGAACCCTTTAGAAAAGGTGATTTGGGCAATCTTACCAGATGAGAGAATATCTCTTTCCAATTGACCAGAGAAACTCTGTAACACAAAGTACAAGACATTATTTTCCATTGACAAAAATTGCTAATGTATTGTCAGATAAAAAAAAAGATGATGGTTTGTCCTATCATATCTTCAAACAACTAATGCCTGAAATTAGCATATGTCGACACAATAAGGACAATTGCACCATGCCCACAGCTAACTAGAAATAATTGAATTAAATGCATCTGTTCTTGCTTCAAGATGGTGTGTCAAATCATATGGCCATATATCCCATCACATAAATACATCCTGCAACTTGATCTAAGGTGAGCAAGTATGACCCCACTTGCAAATACATTTAATGGAAATATAACTTTCTAAGGGTATTTTCTGACCAAAAATTGCACAAAATATCTTTTGGTTGGAACTGATTTATCTATGAATCCAAAATACCCTTAGATGTGCTGGAAAGGCTCTCTTTAGCGAGATCCACATACGGAGGCTTGGGGAAAAACATTTTAACTAAAATGGAAAGACTAGGTGTCATATGATGCAAGAAACAGTTCACACTAAAACCTACCAGAAATGCCACCTTTATGTCATTTATCTATGTTTGCCAAACCAAACAAGTCTAGATTATAATGCACAAGTCAAGCGAAAATTCTTTCTTTACAACAATGACTTAACAATGATCTGACTCCTGTATAGTGATACTGATATATCTTGTCACTGATGATAAATAATTGCCCTACACAGCATCATCAACAGGCTAGAACTGGATGTTGAAAATCTAACTGCTACCACTAGCAAGGTAAAGAGTTTAATCATGTTATATTATAAATGATCATCTTTTATGTCACACGTGGCACTAATTGGCTTATTGTCTATGCTACATTTAGGGGTGACTGTTTCAAAAACTTACATCCACTGATAATACTTTGAAAGTTTGAATTCATGTTGATACAACATGGATCCTAATAATACATAGTATCAAATATCGAATGTAGTGCTCAGAAGGCTAGGAGGTCGCCCGGAAGCAGCCCATCACATCAACACCCGGATGTGGTGTCAAATGGGCAAGGGTTCTCACATTGTTTTAGACCAATGGGAATAAAGAAGTTTAGTTTAAGAACAGAGGGTTGGGCTAACAACTTGAAATATAAGAACACTTTTTAAGGGAAGATATTAGAATTGGTAGACACTATGATCATAAGAAGAATAAATATTATTTGCTTACAAGAGACAAAGTGGGTAGGGAAAAAATCTAAAGAGATTGATAGCACTGAATTTAAACCTTGGTATACTGGAAAAGTTAAACACAAAAATGGTGTAAGAATTGTTGTTGATAAGGGTCTTAAGAAGTAAGAACAATGTTGTAGATGCAAAAAGATTTGGAGATAAAATTATAGTTTTAAAATTTGTGAATGGATAAGATGTTTTGAATGTTATTAGTGTTTATGCCCCTCAAATCGGATTAAATGATCAAACCAAAGAGAATTTTGGAAAAGCCTAGATGATATGATTCAAATCGGATTAAATGATCAAACCAAAAGAGAATTTTGGAAAAGCCTAGATGATATGATTCAAAATTATGTAACTACTAGTGTTAGAACTATAGGGAGTGTGTCTAATGAGTTTCCTATTAGCATAGGATTACATCAATGATCCACATTAAGTCCCTATATTTTTATATTGATAATAGATTAACTTACTAGTCACTAACATGATAGATCTCCATTGTGTATGTTGTTTGCTGATTATATTATTTTAGTTGATGAGAACCTAAGTAGAATTAATTATAAAATTGAGCAATAGAGGCAAGCCTTAGAAACTAAAGGTTTTAGATTAAGTAGAACTAAAACTGAATATATAAAATACAATTTTAGTGATTCTAGGAATAGATATAAGAATATAATTAAGTTGGATAAGCAAAAGTCTCTTTAAGATAAAACTTTAGATATTTTGGATCAATTATTTAATAAAATGAAGATATCGATGAATATATTATTCATAAAGTAAAAACAGAATGGTAAAAATGACAAGGAGCATCAGGAGTCTTGTGTGACTAATAGATATCTTTGAGATTAAAAAAAATATTTAGAAAATAGTTGAGACCAACAATGCTTTATGGATCAGAAAACAATTTTAAGACTAACAATGCTTTATAGATCTGAGTGTTAGGTAATTAAAAAATAATACATATATAAAATTTATGTTATCGAGATGAAAATGTTGAGATGGATATATGGAGTTAGTTGAAAAGATAGGAAAAAGAAATAGTTTTATTTGTGAACAACTAGGTATTACTTCGATAAAGGATAAAATTAAAGAAAATTGTTTAAGATGGTATAAGCATATGATTAGGAGATTTCTGAATGCGATAGTTAGAAGAGATAAAATGATTCATGTTAGTGATACGAGGAGAGGTAGAGAACGACCTAAAAAGACCTTAATAGAAACTATTAATAAATATTTAAGTACTCTGAGCTTAACTAAATATATAGCTTTTTATAGATCTCAATGGCAACAAAAGATCCATGTTCCGACCCCAAATAGTTGAGACTTATGACTTTGTTGTTGTTGTATCAAATGTCAAATGCAATTTTTGCATCCTATACTTAATTAGACATTATTATAGTGTGTTTTATAGTTGTAATATTGCAGCTGAGTGGTGGCCATGGAGGATACTACGTCAATCAAAAAAATAAAAATTGCAGCAAAGATCCCAGTGTAAACCACATCATCCAGTGGTGCATATAGATGCTTGGAGAAGCTGATATACATGCATTATAACATTTGCAATATCTCAAGATAAAGAAAGGAAGGTTGAGGAAGATCAATTTGACACTCAATTTGTCCATGATGATTCTAGAGGAAGATCCACTTGACTCAAACTTTCCATGATAATTCAAATCCTGTGATGGTTTCGTTATGTAGTATGTACAACCTAGAATAAAGATGTCCAACACTCAATGGGATGGGAGATTCACTACGTTTGTCAGGATTTATTTATGAACATATTGAGTAGGAAGATCAACAAGATGAGGTGACTAAATATGAGGGGTTAGGCCTTATGACATTGCCAGGGCACAAGAAGTCAATCTTCCATGGGTCATCATGCCACAAGAAGTCAGTCTCACTCATCCACATGCACAACAAGGCCAAGTTCGCTCATTTGACCATTAAGTGGTAGTTGATAAGCAACAGTTCGAAGAGGATGATGAAACTTCTCCAAGTGATTACAATCTCCATGAGGTTAGAATTGATTCTAGTGATGTCGACAATATTGATGCTAGTGGACAAAACCTTATACTACACGAAGTTGTGAATAGTGGATAAAGGAGCAGCACTATAACATATTGGAGCAACAATATCCACAAAGTGATAGATACTGGATACAGGTTGATTTAAACTCTTGGTGAAACAGGTCAATTTAAACTCTTGGTGAAAATCCCGAACAGTATAAAACTCGCCAAGCAAACTCTTAAATAACAAAAAAGATCACAGAAACCAACTTAAAAGAAAACAGATTCATCATGGAGAAATACCCATCTAGTCATTTTTACTATAAAATTCTTTAGTCTATTCTGTAAGTGAAGTCCATAATCAGACTTAAAAATGCGTCACTTAGTTCCTCAACTAATTGGAGCCTTTCTCAATAATCTTTTCTAGGTAGGTTTTATAAGTAAAGCAAACCTATAAGAGACAGAAATGCAATCATAGTTTTAGAAAATTAAACTTACAAATGCATCACCAAATACTTCAACAGCATGAAGCCTTTCCTCATGCATATCTTCTGTCATAATTGGTGCATCCTAAAATTGAAGACCAGGAAAAGCTTATTCAGCATTCCCAGAAAAACAAGGTTCAATCTCAAAAAATGTACAACAGAACAGAAACACAAAAATAACCTGTGTGTATGGAGCATGCATCTTCTGATATGAGTGGAGCAGCATCATTGACCCAACAACACCAGCTGATCCTTTCCGTACTTGATCTACTTTTTGCAGATCAGGAGATCGTACACTATAATCATGATGCTTAAACGAACTTGATGTAGATGGTTCTGAATCTTGATGACAATAAGATCTCAGATAACTGTGCAAAGAAAAAGTTTTAACTTTTAAGTAATCTACATTTGTTGAAACTGAACGAAAAACAACTTCTAAGAAAATTAAACTAACATTAAAGAAACATTACTTCACTTGAAACAAAAAACTTTATTTCAACCATTTTATCCTGATAAAAACATAGAATCTAAATACATTTTTATGACTGTACATGCTACTAAGTATTCTTCATCATTTGAACATTTCATTGACACTTCAACTCTCTTCTGGGATGACAAGAGAAGTCCCAGTTCTAAGAAGACAAATTATCATTTCTTACATCAGAATTCCACAGGAGAGCATCCAATTTAAAGGAAGATAACTGGTTCATTATGTCATCAATAATTCAGGGAAAAACCAAAGCAAAAAGTGGTTGGCATATAATTAACACTTAGCTTATGGCATCTGTAGACAAAATATAAAGACAAGGCATATACGAAACACAATCTTAAGAGTTAAGACCAAACAAAAAGTTTGATCCAGATTAAACAGCTTGATCATTGTATACCCTATACATATTTATTTTGATGCATGGTGCATTTACAATGAATATATAGACATATTATTCTACTTTGCATGAGTTCTTATAAGCTCCATTATCAACCATCACTTCCCATAGTTAAAACTGGATCCAAGAAAAATCATATCCAAAATTACTTCCAATCAGTGGATATAAAAAATAGATACATAATTATAAACTACATTTCTTTGATGGATATGGATTCAAATTGGACATATAATAGATGTGGTCAGAAATTGGACTAAGGTGAATATATACATGAATATCAGGTGAATCAAGGATACATCAGTTTAAAGAAACTAGCTCAAATAAATTGATCATATTTATTGAATAATAATAAAATTAATGTGAAAGGAAAAGAAAGAACGAGAAGTATATATACTTTGCATATTATAATCAATTCAAATAATAAATTTCCTTATGATGTTTTTTGACCATATTAATACTAAGTGCAACATTGCATCCAACACTTACACGTCATTTCATTGCCTCCATTAACAATAAATTGCAATAACAGCAACAAATAACTCTTTAATGCCTTCTACAGAGATAAATGATAGCCTATGACAATTCCTCATCCAATCAACAAGTCTATGTGTTGCCTCATCGGATGACATCACATAATTCATAATCAGATCCTTTGCGAGTCAAGACTCGATATGGATATCAACAACCAGTGCCACTAGCAAGAACTCCACCACTCATGAAAATGTGATAAGAGAAAGTTCAAGTTCATAGAGTTAGCTGAATTGAAGGATGATATCAGTAACTTCATTGCATTTGTAGCAAATATTAAAATTGGTGGTCGCTGAGAAATAGATCTGAATCTTCCTACTTGACTATAAGATCCTGTAGATTATCGGAAAAAAGGGAATTCCACATACACAAGTGCCTAAACTAGCACATAATGATTGCAACAATGTGCTAAAAAATGAACATTGATGAAAAAATGCCAGACCAGTGGCATTGGCTCAATTCAGATTTCCTAGTGCCTACTCTCTTCAACTGTTGGACAAAGTTCAAAGAAACAGTTGGACCAGGACACACCACCAGTCAGACCGGTACAACTGACATCTAACTGGTTTCCAGCATGTAGAGCAATTTTGCAAGGCCCAAATCTAGAGAGCTGAAAAAAACTGTCAACAACTATTGGTTGTCAGAAAATAGTAAAAAAGTAAAACAATAAATAAAATTTGGCAATTTCACTGAGGAGAATTTTTTTATTATTCATGGATGTATTTGAGTTCTTATTTTCAATTGATGTTTTAGAGAGTCCCTAGAGTCCACGTTTAAGCCTCTTTGTCGTCAAAGAGTCTTAGTGTACTTATAAGACGAGTTGTTTAGCAATGGATAGTTTTGATCAAGGTTTGAAATTTCATACCATACCGGTGTATCGAGCTTTGATCGGTATGGTACAATGCATTGTACCGAGCGGTATGCCTATATATATAATATATTTTATATAAAAATCAATATATAAAAATCAATAAAAATATTTTAAAAAAGACATACGCAGCCACGGTGGCGTCGCCTCCTCATCACCTCATCTGCTGCATTTGGCGAAGAAGGCAACGAAGATGTCCAAGGCTGCAGATGTCTTCGGCCTTTGGCGAAGAACGCAGCGAAGATCGCAGACATCTCTGGCCTTCTGCGAAGAAGAAAGCCATAGAGTCGCAGATGAGGCGATGAAGGAGACCGCCTCTTCCGTTGCTCTAGTAGCTGCCTCCCCTGATCCCTGCGCATCCAGATCCTCCTCTTTACGACTCTCCTCACCGTTACCTCCAAGACCGAGATCAAGGCGGCACCGGATCGAGATCGAGAAAGGGCGTGGAAACAAGTTCGCGTCGAGGTTTTCCCGATTCTCCCTCTTCTTCGACTGCCCTCTCCTTCTTCGACGCTTCTCCCTCAGCCTCACCGCAGCCAGGTTGCTATATTTAACGGACCGCCCGGTAGTAGGCTATCACGGACAAAATTCTAAACAGGATGTTTGATGTAATACTTATGTATGTCCGTGTCTTTTGGTTTGTTCATGCTTTGCACAACATGTAGAGGGACGATCGAAGGCTTAACAACCCCATTTTAATTGGGTTTGGTGGCTGTTTTAGGCTTGTAAATAAAGGATGTGTCATGTGGACACTTGTGAGAGATACTTGGTCTGTAGTGGACCATTTTGACCCTTTGTTGTGCAACCGTTCAGAGCTTGTAAAGTCTGTTTGTAATTTGCATTGGCTATGAAGTGTTTTCTGAAATGTTTGCTTGTGGATCCCGAGTGAGGCGCTTTCTCTAACTCGTTTTCTCTTTTGTAGGTCCTAAGGGACCATGGGAGGTTTCGAGGAGGCTGACCTTTGCGGATGGACATGCAAGGGTGCCGCACAACTTAGGCAAAACCAGCTAAGTCCGTGACAGGGCGATCGGCGTACCGGTTCACGGGCAGACCGGTATGTATCGCCCGTACCAGGCAGTACGATTCGAAATCACAAACCTTGGTTTTGATATTACTTCTCTAAATTATTTTCAAAGGTATTTTCTCCTAGAGTTGGAGAAAGCTCCAATAGCAAGGACCCAATCCTAATTGATTAAAATATCTTCTAGTTATGAGGTTGGGTCCTATGTCAATTCAGCATGAGTCAGCTATATAGCATTAAAGACATCTCAACAAGATTCCAATTAATAAATATCATGAATCGACATGTCATAATATTAAGCCACGTTATTTGTGGCATTATAATAATAAGATAATCATTTATATGTGTTTAGTATATGGTTGCAACTTCTATATAATGGCAGAAAAAAAATCAAATAACAATTTGGAGAATCAAAAGATAACAATTTCTGCACGAAGGTGAGAAAGCTACTGATGTCGGCAGCAATTTTATCATGCTTGTTAAAATTTATTTAGGCCCACCATGCATCTAATTTGGGATGATATTTACGAATATTAAAAGGTAGGCACAAGTAGATTAATTCATGTAGATCATATTGGTCATATATTGCATCAATGAAATTAATCACATAAAAAGTGTCAATAGCTTATATTTCATGTCAGATTGCTTCATTCCTAGGTGAGCTTTGAACATACAAACATAATTTAAAATTTTAAATGTAAACTACCAGGACCAGAAAACCACTGCATGATTTTCATGACACTGTTTAATAATAGATTATCCACTTCCATACATTGAATATTAAGCAATGGATTATTCTGGTGCAAAAATAAGACAAACCCTTAAACACATACTTTACCTGCCATTTTCATTTTTTACAGGTTCCTTAAATGGGTCAGCTTCAGCATCTACCTGTGTATCAAGCTCAAGAGTGTTAGTATCCCTTACAAACAGAAAGGTGAAAGACACAGGAAATTGTGAGTCACACCTTTTTACCACTAGGAGTATGGTCTACACTTTCAGTGCTGTTGTGAGTGTCATGACTCAAGTTCTTCTTCTCAATGCATATGGCAAGCTTAAAACAAGATGAAAAATTAATGAGGATGGTAATTGTCTAAAAAAATTAATAAAAAACTTACCAACTTTTCTAAGTCTCTAAGCACTAGAAATATGTTACACAATAACCAAATCAAGCATTATAAAGAATAATGAAAAGTATATACTAGATATTCCACAATGGAAATATTATTCCTTTACAACCTGAGCAATCAGCATTCGAGTCACGAGAACAGCCTCGTCTAGATAAGGTTTGCAAACGTTGGCCGTCACTATATCTCGTGGATACCCTGTCAGCTAGGTTCATCCCTTTTTTTTCCTTGACATGGTAGTTTATGTCAATTATATAAAGTTATAAACTATATAATTTCTAACAAAGGTTAAATCACACAAGTTGCTATATCTAAGACATTTGAAGCTGTAATTAAAGCTTGTTAACTTGAAAAGTAGTTCATCTTGTTTTCGTTACGAATCTAGGTTTAACCATACTATGAGTATACCGTACAATACCACTCGGTACAGGCAGTATATACCGGTCTGATAGAGGACAGGTATGGGCAGTACATCGGTACACCTTAGTATACCATGTATTCGTACGTTCGGTACAGCTCAGTACGTATCGTACCAATAGCTGATCGGTACACCGGTATGGTACGATATTCAGAACTTGGATTATGACCCATGAGTTCACAAAATCTCTGTTATAAGATGATGTCAGAAAGAATCCTGGAAAGGAAATCTTTGTGTTGAGGGTAATAAGATGAAACTTCATCAGCTGAAGATAAGAGGTTAACCAAGAAAGGCATCCGGATAGCTTGATTGCCTCATCAGCCAAAGATTAAGAGTTACAAACCAAGAAACACATCTACCTTGAGCATTTAGCATGCTGCATTCTCCAGCAAGTTGCAAACAAGGTGGTTAGCAGTTAGCCCAAAGATGAATGAGAAACCATTGCTGTGATGACTTTGTCATCATATCAACAGCATAGCTTTGAACTTTGAAGGTTCTCACAAGTCACAACTACTCTAAAGGGCTCTCTACTCAGGTAGATGACCCAATGACGATAGAAAAAAGACATAAAACAAGCATCACATATCATACTTTACTTTGCTCAAGTTTTATACAGAAAAAAGTAGAAATCAGGAAATCATGTCAAGTTTCTAAAGCCTCTTTCTCCAAAAAGGAAACCTATAAATTATCAATCTTGTATGACAAGGTAAGTAGACTCTCATGAATTTTTGTCCTTTCCTTTGCTTTCTCATTATTGCATTGTCATCCCTGTATCATAGCCATATCTAACATAAAGCATGGTACATGTAGTGTACCAAGTTGTCCAGTAAGCGACAGAATGGTCAAACCAATTAGGGAAAATTTCATTACAATCATAAATTGAGTTATTTAATCAGAGGCTCCCTATAACCAAAATGTATGCTTTTCTTTCAAATTGATTAAATGCATTACCATAGGCATGGTGTCGAAATAAATTTTGAACATTAATACAACAGACAAATTTTAGAGATAGCAAATTCTCCAAGGTTAGGGTACAGAAGATAACAAAAGTATGTTATCCTATACAATATGAAAATGTACAAAGTTTAACCATGCTGATCTCTCCTAATATGCTACAAAGAGCAGAAAATGTAGATGAACAGAATTATCAAGCATACGAAAGAGAGAAACATTACCATTTGCAATTTCTGATGTATAAGACAGGCAGACAAGTCAATGGTGGAATCTGATGGCATTTTCGGCAAGGGTTGTGATTCTTCCCAGCACCATCGAACTTCTCGGACGAATTCAATCCAGAGGGATGCAATAGCTAGATAAATTCACAGCTAAAACTCAGAAGTTATTCTTTTTGAGTGGAAACTTTCCAGAAAATATCTAAGTGCAACATAATTGAGACACATCAATCCAATTTCCAATGTGAAAGGTAGATAATGAAAGCAAAAAGTTTTGCTAATACAAACCACGAATGTTACAACCACCAAACCAGAGTGAATGCAGACAAAATTGAGCAAACAGGGATTCTAGAGGTGTGCCTTTGATTGCACGAGAGTGTTTATTATCCCGTTCCACAAGATGCGAATTGTGGCCTCCTGAAGTTAAGACGGTAAATCCAGTTGATACAGAACAGAAAAAAATTAAAGATAAACAAATGAAGTGAATAATTGTTTGCAACCATTACAAGCATGCTTAACTGAAACAACAAGATGCAACAACTCTGGAATAAAATCCAGTTTTTATTTCCTCAATCAAGAGAAGCATTTTGCAGTTCTTTTGAACAAGTTACAGAACACTCATTCGTGCTATTCCCATCCTGATTTAAATACTAAGAGGAAAACACAAGCCTTTATTCAACTTGTGCAACTCCACCTGCACATCACAAACACATCTATGTTGTATCATTTCTGCCCAATATTCTTGGAAAATTTCCCCCAGATTTTTCAATTTCTCAAAGGCAACACTGAAACATGAATTCCTTTAAAATGCTATAGTACAATGTAAATCATAAATTTCTCAATAAATATTGCAGAGGAAAGACATTCCTTGTATCCTACAAAACCATAGTCCCAAAATTATCCATGACAGTAGGTGCCCAGACTTTCTCTTCCTATGAAGTTATGCCACTCATGAATTTATTTTAATGACAAGACACTGAGATATACATACATGTGTCATGTGGTCGTCATGTACCCACATTTTTATGTGGACACCCTCAACACATGCTGGTCACTGTACAAATGCAGCAACCACCAACAGAGTACATGAAGGAAGCATTCATCACATGATCAATGATTAGTTAAATGCAAAAAATGAGATACTCAAATTCAAATATCCATGTTTCTAGAACTCATCTCATCTACTTGCCCATCTTTTGTGGATGGTGCTGACACCATTGCCATATCAGGATGTTATATAAACATCTAAGTTTCCATAATACTATTCAGCTACTTGCTCAACTTTTCTAGGGTATTGCTTACATCATGGATGTTTCAGGACCCATATTATCCACAACTTCTCACTCCCTTGATCTTCTTAATCTTCAAGATAGCATCCTAAAAAAAGCTTACTATCTTGCTAAATTATCCCCATAAACTACATCATTTCATCCCAATCTTCCTCAAATAGCTCCGACAGGCCAAACATACGGATCCTCATTTGTATTTTTCTCCAAATTACTTATCCACACCCTTATCCTTCTGCTTTGATATAGCACTCTGAATAAGTTTCCTTTCCTATTTTATACTCACAATTCATGGGGATTGCAGTTCTCTTCAGTGATATTAACAGGGACCAGTCCATTTTATGGTATTTAAGCATGTTAAAAAAAATCAAGGACATGCTACCGCATGCTTATTAATGGTATTGTCTCACATAGATTAGTACAGGTCACAATGACATACAATGCAACAAGAGTACTACTCAATAAATTGATTCATCTATGTTAAATCCAAACTCATTAGTTTGCCACCTATCTATGAAAACAATGGGCACAATTCAATATAATTAGGTTACAAGCACAAACCATCCATCATGGTTCAAATACAAGGCTTCATTTTCAAATATGATTCGGCAGGTACATTCTGACAGGCATTTAACAACCTAACTAAAGACCGTCATCGAACCTTATGGCTCACTATGTCAATATTCTTTCCTATTCTAGAATACTAGACAGTACAAGTCAATATACTACCTGATATATGGTACCATATCACTAACATCATGGTGTTGTAACCATGGTTCACCTTACCAGTTAATACCGGTGTACCGACCGACCATTAGTATGGTATATATCGAGTCATACCAACGTACTAACACATGACACGGTGGGCATACCAATGTACCAGCATATACTGCTTGTACCGGTCCCCTATTGGATTAGTACATACCGCCCATATCGAGCAGCACGCTGTGGTATGGAGAACCTTGGTTGTAACGAATGTGGAGTTGAGATTTTAAACTTCAATTAGACATTTTTTTATTAAAATGTTTAGTCGATTTCATGTGCTCAGAGTGCTAGTCCTTCAAGTATGATATTGTAAATGAAACAAGAATTCTTGTGTTTACATGCATAAGGATAACAACTATCCATTTAGATGAAATTAAGATGATAGATCATAAAAATTGTAGTTATTTAGATCTTCCGACTCATTTATAACACTTATCTCAACTCAAGGCCCATCTAGCACAACTGAGGTGGGTGACAAGCATGTCTTTTTGAAAGTTCAGATAAAATCCTTTTGGGATGATTGAAGCCTCAATTTTCTCACCTTAAATCAATCGTGGAGGCTCCAAATTGAGATTAAACTCTGCTACATATGATCTATGATATTCAAAAATCTTAAAACAAATATATACATAAATTTGTATATATTTTGTGCTCATCAAACCAAAGTAAATTATGAAAATTGTTTGCTTATGAACAATGACCAATGATTTCAAATGTAACTTATTACTTTGGAAGAATACATAAATTTTCCTTGTTTTCATACTCCTAAATTGTTGATCAAACCAAGATCTTTTCTATGTCATTCAAATTGCTTATTTTTATACCACTTGATGCATATGTTATGAAACTTTTCAGAATATTACTTATTGTGTCTAGAATTTTCAGACAATGTAGGTCATGTTTGACAGGATCAATCTCCAACTTGAAGCATCCATTGTTGAATTTATGGTGTTAGGAACGAGGACCAGATTCTATCTATAGGATTCTAGCTCAACTCCAACCAACTACAAAAATTATCCAAAATGATTTTGAAGCATCTGTTGATGAAGGAAATTATAAAATTTCAACTCATTTAAGGAATATATGCAACATTATTACCAATTAACATTGATAGTCAAGCCTCGTAACCATTATTAAGATTGGACAACTTCTGTTTGATACACTGTTTCCAATCATGTTGTATAATCACATATAAATAACAATCATGTTGATACAACTGTGCAAATTTGTTGTGTTATAATAGCATCAAGAAGCAAAGTAAAATGACAATAACATAGGCTTCACAACATCAGTCAAAATAGAACAAGGAAAACAGATGAATGATTAGTAAGATACCATCATGAAAAATCTCTTTGAGAACTCGATCAAGAACTGTTGGGGGAGGTATAGCAGTTGACGACTTTGAATTATCAGATGCTGGATTCTCGACTGTCTAGCATAAAAGAGAAATATATAAAGAAGAATATGTCTCTGTATACTAAATATACCATATATATTAAAATTAAAAAAGAATGACAGAAAGAAAATTTTAACCTGAAACAAAATCGTCCAAAAATTGAGCCTCAAATGACATATCCAATGCACTTACTAGAAGACGTATTTGTGAAGCAAAACCAACAAACATCCATGTTGAATCGTCCATCCTATAAAGTACCAAATAATGATTTCAATGGAAAAAAAAACAAATATAATATTTTAAGCACATTACCCTCCAAACAAGCCATGAAGGAGCATCACATGTTAAATTTGGAAAAAAGGAAGTTTTAGATCAAAGTAAAATAAAGTTGCAAATGAGTTTGTCTAAGATCCACCAAATTATTTTTGCCACTGAGTTATTGCTGTAAAATATAATATTGGCATATGAAAACTTTTATGGGATAAGAAACTCATCAACCAAAGTACATTACATAAGAGAGTGCTTTGTCATAACCAAGGTATGCAACACCGTACCGTATCGGTGTTTCGAGGTTAGCTCGGTACGGTACGGTACCATGTACCGAGCGGTACAACAGGGTGTACCGAACAGTTTTAAATATTTCATCCTCTTACTATAGCACTGTAGTGTTGCTACGGTGTAGCACTGTAGCACAATCCGTCCGGTAGCGGGCGGTCCGCGTACCGGTACATACCGCCCATACCGGGCGGAACCATTCGAAATTGCATACCATGATCATAACTAAATTTTACCCATTTGAAGTTTCGGGGGGATTTTTCAAAAAAAGAAAATAACAAACACATGCTGAGACCTTTTCATGTCGGTTTATGCTTAGTGGAGAAGAGACATATAGATAAGCCTCAGAATAATGAAACAGACAAGTGGTAAACCAGCAAGAAATATTATAACAGACTCCTTGAACTGAAGGGAGAAAAACTAAAAAGCTTGATATAAATCAAGGATAAGAACCAAATAGGAGAAGATAACAAGGAATAGCATTCCATATAAACCATAAAGCTCACTATAATTAGTCCCTGTATCAAGGGATTTAATTTGTAAATCGGAAGTGAACAAGTAATTGTATGGAATGACTGATATATGACATTAATAGCATCCCAAATAATTAACTGAAATCAACCACCCAATAAAACAACACCAAGATTAAATGCTGCATAAAAAATATAATGGATTAAACAATGTCACAAATTCATTATTCTGGAATCTTACAGAACTGCTGAATTTAAATAAAATTTGATGAAATGCTGTAAAATTTAACAGAGTAAAGATGATTGCTTATGATTCAATTTTTGACTTCTTACAACCAACACACCAAGTTTTGCAATTTTGTACCAGGGTCCCTTACCGGTCGATGGCCGTACCAATATAGTTTCAGTTCATGCCGATGCACCAATATATGGTACTCCAGCATGTACTGAGGTACTGTTCTGCTGAGGGAGGGGAGGAGGAGGAAGGAAGAAGAAGATAAGGAGAAACAAAAAAATACTGTAGATGAGGCGGCAGCAGATGGTGGGAGGCAGTGATTCATTTTAGAGTTCCAAAGGCTACACCTATATTCTACTGAAAATTATGTTGTTATTATTAAGAAAATTTCCTGGAAACAAATTAGAAAGCAGCATTTTACTGTTGTCTTTATGATGTGAATATATCCAATATATGAATTTATAACAAAAAGTGTCATATAGCCTAATATAATTAATTTTTTCTAACAAATTGAATGACGAGATCATAATTCATAATAATGGCATAAATGGTAAGATGCAGCTAGAAGAAAATGGGAGGGCCCACTACTTTCATATATCAATGATAATGAAACAAGAAGAATTAGCATCAAGACAGTATGATCATTTATCAACACAGTATATTAACTTATTCAGTCTAATAAAAAAATTCTTACATGAATGGGAATATGATAGGGCAAAGAAGCCACTTTTCAGCATCAAATGAGGAAGCATTTTCAAGTTCTGCCATCTCAAGAGAACTTTCAAACATTCTACCAGACCAAATGGCGACCAACTCAAACCCTAAAGGACACAGAAATCTGTCAGATTACCATGAAACCCTCTAAGATGCGAAAGTATCAAATGTTAGCAGTTAAAGTTACTTCAACCATGGCAATCTAAGAATTTCTTAAGATTAAACTTTCTAGAAGATGAATAGCATAGGTTAAGCATCAAATTTCTTTGTGTACAGTACCTAATTACCAACAAAATGTGCTGGGACAACAATAAATTACATGATAGAAACACATCTTACTTAAAAAGGAGATTATATAAAATCAACATAAACCTGAACGCAGAGAAGTTCTAATATTAAAAATTTAAGATGTCATTTAACTGGAACCAATCAGAACATATAAAAAATGGAACATTTCAAGATCTGATGCAATATGGCTTAAAGAGACATCTTACTAGGAATCAGGCTTGATGGACCTCATTCTATCTAATGTCAAATTCTCATCATAAACTACAAGGAAAAAATTTGTTCACAGATATGATTCGAGATCTTAGAATGTGTGGTTAAACTTATCTTTCCCTTTATCACTTGATCTGCCAACATAGTTAAACAAATAAAGATCATGGTTCAGGTATTATTGAAATCAAGTATAATGTTGTGAAAGATTTAGCAACAATCTTGTGCAAGTATTATCATTCTGTGCCACAAGCCACAATGATGCCTTCTATATCATGCTATAATTTCATGTCATGCTGATTGACACAGACCAAAAATTGATCTGAATGGTTGCACTGGTGTGTGTTGATACATTTTGGGCATGTTATGTTTTGACCTGTGCCTGCACATGCCTTGATCATATGATTTACTTAAAACTTTTACAAAAACCAATGCTTTGCTGAAAGTATTTTATTATTATCCAATTTTATTCTGAAAATAGTAGTCATATAACTAATTATTGGACCTGTAAAACTACAACCACAAATTATTTTAAATACCACAAGATTGTTCCTTAAAGATAATTAGGAAAAATATGTTTTTGTCTTCACTATGTAACTGCCAGATAGTCTGTCTTAGCATGTATCATAATGCGGCCAAGTAATATTTACAACATAAAATAGCATAGGAGTTAACAATTTGTTCAAAAACAAAAACATGCAATATCAATACTAGCTGCAGGGATTGAAGTATAATATAAGGGCCCCTGATTTGATGCCTGAAAGTGACAGTCCAGGAAAAGTAAGACTAAATGTAGTGTACCAACTACCAAGTACCAAGTACCAACACTGACTTGGGCCTGATGTGAGCTGAAGGCCAATTTTATTAAAAAGCACTTTCTGATTTTAAAGTCTAATGGCCAAAGTGGTTGGAAACAAAGAAATCCAACCTCAATTGGAATTGGAAATCAGAAGTAACAAATTTACCTACTTGTAAAATCCTGATACCCCTATTGTCCAACACCATTACATACTTCACATCCTCCATCTACTAAAGAAGGTAAAACAAGCAGTTGGGAAGAAGGACTATCCCATATATACTGGTCCGACCAAGGATCTTGGTCCAACTTGCTCGCAAGCTACTATGTCAGCCGCTTCAGCCCTCTCTCTGTGCCTCCTCCCCACCTTTCCTTCTTTTCTCTCCTATCCTATGTCACCTGCAGTAGCAATAGCTCTGGGGGGTCCAACAGCTGTGAGCCACCTTCACCAACATCTTCCTTCTTCCCCTCTCCACCTCCCTTACACTATTCACAACCACACAAAACACTTCATGAGATAGGGTCTCGTACAGATAGACCAACTATATCACCTGATATCTTTGAAAATATTATAAAAAATAAATGCTAACTAATACCAAACTATTGGTCTGATATCGGCCCTTGATCAGACAAAGAAACATTGGTTGGCATGTACCATTCTGAGCAATATTTGAATCCTTGATTTGTGTGTTAATGTCCATCAGAGAAAGTTATAAATTTCATATGCAATACCAGTACTAGATTTTCTTCATGGTAGAACAAACCTTTGTTTTGCAATTCTTGTATCCAATGTATACATTATTAACTATTAAAAAAAGTTATATACCATGTCTTAAGAATTATTTTTTTGTGGAAAAACTCAAGAGAAAGAAGCAGCACATATGTAAACAAATTTTTATTTTTAGGCAAAAGGCTTAACACAGCTTATCCAACTCATTTCATTTAGATAATGGAAGGAAACCAAAAAAACACACATATGCTAGCAATTAAAACCAAACTTGATCTGAATTTTCATTAATACAAAATAGACTTCTTTTTTGCATTTCTTGTATTTATTTGTACATCGCCATAAAAGATAACATGTGATACCAACTAAAACCAAGATTGGAAAGAATTTTGTTTATGCTACAATTGTGGACTGTCGTACCCCCGATATGGTATGAAATGGGCAGTACATGTCAGTCAGCTAGCTGATCGGTATGTTGACAGCCCATTTTGGGCGATTCACAGTTTAGTGTATGCATATGCATCAGTACACCTCTTGTATCGGACAATACAGTTGACATTTGACCGCTGGTAATAATTGGATTTTACCCATAACTACCTCATCTCTCATCACACCATACTCCAATGGTCAAATTGACCGTTGGGGCCTGTTTTGGGCCTTTAAAACCACATCCCCCTCCTTCACTCACTTTTATTCTCACTCTCTTTTGATATAATGTGTCCGTCCATGCTTAGATACACAGTATTCTTATTTGAATATAACTTATATACCAAAAAATTAAGAGAAGAAAACCTACAATATGAATTTTTTAAATTTCGAGCCATTTTTTGGCCCTTATTCGGAATACCAACGTGCATTAGTGTATTGACACATGGTACACTAGTACCAACCATGGTTCGTCTTACCTATCCGTACCGATATACCAACCGATCATCAGTATGGTACATACCAACGTATCGACATACGGTACGGTGGGGTATACCGATAGACTGGTATGTACTGCTCATACCGATCGCCTGTTGGATCGGTATGTACTGCCCATACCGAGCGGTACACCATGATATGGACCAACCATATATAGCAGTCTAATCACGGATCGGTATAGCCAATTGGCATGAGATGACGGGGTGTTATGGCAAAGAACAGTCAAAAGAAAAAAGAAAAAAGAAGGAATTTGCCCTAGCTAGGGAAATTCCCAATTCGTGAGTCTAGGGGAGAAAAGATTTGTCTGCTAGTGGATCCCCATCCTCCCTATTGTATGCAGCTTTGACTTTCAGCAAGTTCCTCGACAACAATAATTGATAATGTTTCAACTATTTACATCAGCAACATGGTATTTTCTTGTTGCGGCGTTTCTTGACAACAACAATTCATCAACTATTTGGGTCACATTTTTTGCTATGATGTTCCTTGACAACAACAATCCGTAATGTACCAACTATTTGAGTCAGCTATATGGAATTTTTGTTGTCATTGAGCTATGCTTCAACAACAACAACAAAAGCCATAAAGTCTTAATTATTTGGGGATAGCTACATGGATTTTTTGCCATTATTGACATATGTGAAAAGCTATATGTTTAGTTAAGCCAAAAGAATTTAAATCTTTATGTATGGTTTCTAGCAAAGTCTTATTAGTCATCCTCTACCTCTCCCTAATAGTCATCAGTTTACCTCTTCTAATTATCGATCTCCTACGCATATATTCATATTATTTTAAATAATTCTCTCTCATTTTAAGTGATTCCTAATCTTTCACGAATAAAAACATCTTTTTTTCTATCTTTCCTAGTAACTTCATACATCCATCTCAATATTCTCATCTCAACAATACAAACATTTTATATATGTTGTTTTTTAACTAACCAATATTCAAATCTATAAATTTTTTTAAGATTTCAAATGTATCCGATGATCACATAAGGCTTTTAACAGCCCTCATCACTATAACAATCTTGTTTTTACTTTATGAATAATATCTTCAGCAATCTCTTCATTTTTTTGAATAATTGATATAGATATCTAAGGCTTTTACTTAATAAACTTTTTACTCATCCAACTTAACTATATCTTCTTATTTATTCCTAGTATTACTAAAATTGCATCTCATATATTCATGTTTTAGTCTTACTTAATCTAAAACTGATTTGACTTTACAACTTAAGATTAATTGATTTCATCTAAAACTCTCATCAACTAGGACAATATCATTGGAGGTTTATCCTATAAATGATTTATAGTAAAAAGGTAGAGATTTAATGTGGATTCTTGATGTAATCTTATACTAATAGGAAGCTCATTAGACAAACTCCCTAGAGTTCTAATGCTAGTGGCAACATTATTAAACTCCCTATTTTTAATAACTTCAACATAATTAGATAGTTAAAACTAAAAGACATCAAATTTCTGTTTAGTTTTTCCAAAAGTTGCTTAGAGCTCTAACTCTCCTCACAAACGATCATAGATGCTGCTAGTCTAATAGTTTATAGATTTTGTTTGAGCTGTAAAGGCCTTAAGGCCTTAAGGAAGCAAGTTATTCACAAGGTTAAGGTTTAAAAACTAGGATTAAAATTTACTTGATTAGCTAAGCTACATTTTTGACAAGAAAAAGGTACCTCTAATTGGATCCTCCGCAGAATACCATTCTGTCCAAGGGCAGTCATCATCCCATTGGGTTTTAATGTGATTTGGACTAACAATATCTCCTTTTGATTCATTAACTTCAGGGTCCACACTGTTGATTTCGTCATCAGATTCATATGGAGGAGATCTATATGTAAGCTTCATTGCAAATTGCACTTTGAAAAAGCTTGCTGAAAAATCTACTGAATATAAGGCCTCCAAGAACAAAATTGGAATGTTAGAAACTTTGAATGAAGGGAGACTGTCTGCTGAATGCTTTTACCAAATTAAGGCATGTTCAAGGAAACTAAGTTTCTATAGCAGTTAAATAATAGAAAAGTTAAGCATCAAGGAGCCAGATGAAGAAAATATTTAAAAACAATAACAAATCTTTGTTTTTAGACAACATTGTAAACCTAACAATGTTCGATCCATGCAAATATTCTACATCACAAAATATTGAAGCAACATTGCAACCTCAAGTACAAAGACCAGTTCTATCCTTGATTCTGGAATTTAATGTTGTTTCAGAGTGTTCTAAAATTACATAATTAGAAATTTTAACCCATGCTAAATTAAATTAGATGTGAAAATTTGCAATACTTTATGGAAAACAACATCTACCACTTTCATAGCTGTCAAACATGTATTTTTATTTGAGGGGTTATTCTTGAAGGATGACTATGATAGACACAGTCCTTGTTCTTTATCTAGTTTGTATGACCGATAGGCACAAAGTCCAGGTAAGAACAAACAAACAATTAGGAAATGCTGATATGACCAAAGTGAAGTTTGAATCTGTAGGCTATATACCTAATAGACTATAGAGTGACCAGAACATGGATAGCCAGGTATGCAGCCAATAGATCAAGTATTATGTCATACAACGATACAAGCAGCAACTAGCACTGAAATTCCCTATTACCTAATGCAATAAACAAATAGATTAAACTTACAAATTATTTATATAGCCAATCAAGGGTTTGAATTTCTTCTTTCAGCGGATAATCTGATGAATAACGAGAAACTTTCCTAATAATAGTAGTAGGAACTCACAAATTTTGAGATAAACAACTCATAAAGCCCCTCCAAATGCATGAGCCTTATAGGCACCTGGCTACCAATCCTATCAGCATCAAACCTTCTGGTGAAAATCAGGCCTAGATTTTGGATCCCAATGTATGCTTTTCTAGAAGGATCATGCACTGGAACAAATGCGGGCCAGTTACTGCAAAAAGAAAAAAAGGCTATCAATAATATTTCCTTTGTCTACTTATGAACCAAACACATAGGAAAAAACATCAAACTGTGGATGAAGAATATGTCTTTGCAAGTTTGTTTAAATGTTCATGCTCTCCCACCAACATATGCATAAGCAGTTTTTCTGTGAAATATGTGGATTATGTGCTACTGATTATATATTTGGGCTGAGTTATATCAAATTAACTTAATGAACTAGTGGTCTGGGTATGCATATCAATGATAAGAATAGAACATTGCTTAACTACTTGTCCAAAGTAAATAAATCTATCTTAATTATTAGTATGTTTTTAAGTCTCAACCACCAAGATCATCCAGAAGGCTATTTACCTCTAAGATGGCTGGAAGAAACAGTGGGAAAGATTCATGGAACATAAGTGTCATGCAATTGAGAATAAATTGCTAGAGCAAATGAATTGATTATATACAACACAACGAGAAAACTGTAAGTCCCAACTATTAAAAATTGATTTTATATGTACGTATGTATATCTGAAGTTAGCAAATATTTTGGTCCATGGAAATTAATTTCGCTAGGACCGGTTCATAATGGCTGATAATTATTAATTTGGGCATCAAGAAGGACACAGACTGCCCCTTTTAGGGCGGTCCAGTTTGTTTTTTTATAAACCACTAGGATCATAGAGTTTTAAAGTCCTTGGGACACAGACTGCTCCTTTCTGGGCTGTCCAGTTTGTTTCTTTATAAGCCACAAGGATCTTAAGGTTTTAAAGTCCTTGTGACATGTCATTCGGTGTCCACGATTTGCATTCGCCTGGCAGCTCGCCACCCTGCAGACCCACCACCTGCCTCCCACCAACAAATCTTTTTTTTTTTCCTCCTCCTCTGCTCGTCTGTCTCCCACCACCACCAAAAAACTATCTGCTCCTCCTTGGCTCCTTACTCCCCATCCCATCTTGGTACCACACCATGTGCCCACAAACCATGTGTCAGTACACTAGCACGAACTATACTTGTACTGGTCCGATCATGGACCAGTAAAGATCCAGTACCCAAAATTAAGGTCTTTTCTTTGTTCAAACTAACAATACAATAAAGAAAACCACAAATGTGCAATTTGTTAAGAACTCACCTGCCACAATTTGTCAAGGCAATTGCAACAGAACTTAATAGCTTCGTTGATTCAGGTGCATCAAGAACCACCCCACTAGCACTTAGAGGTGCAATAACCTGGTTGTGTATGTAAAATCAACATTAACAGCATCCATCAACAACAACATATTAAAGTAGTGAACTAGAGATATAAGCATGAAATTTATAGGAGATGAACTCATTGGAAGATGATGATGAAATCTAGATGGTTGATAATAGTGGCAACAGAAGCAATCACAATTATAAAAGAAAACAATGATTACACAAAAAGAAATTAAAGAGAATAAAATTCATGATGGTTAAGTTGAAAATCGACATATACAACATCAGTAATGGCTGCTACTAGAACAACAACAAAAACAAAGACAATACATCCTAATTCCAACTGCTGATCATGAGGAAGTGGGAGACAAGGGAATATGAGTATCGTAAATATAAAAACACCGAAGTGAAACAAAATAGCATAATTATAAGAGGACACAATTTGTAGAATCCATACAAAAGCTGAAAATCATATATCTATATCCACCAGTTAAATTAGAGTTCATCTCCTCTGATGTGATCAATTATGCCTACAACAATTATACGATTTAAAGAGACATTGACTGATTTAAAACGAGTAAATGTCATAACTAAGTCAAAGCTACAAAATACCCAAAACAATAATCCATAATCAGGCATGACTTGGGACACAAAAAACAACAAATCTTTACAGTTTTCAACTATCTCAAAATTGCAAAATATAAAGTAATAATGAAAAAACAACTGAAAATCCTAAAAGATGAATAGCTAATACCAAAGCTCTAATTAATTAAATCAACTAAATCTATAGAGTAGATGACTAAAAAATTGTCACAAATTTGCTGGACCATGGACCATCTTTATGAGGGCCTCACATGCAATCCAGAGTGGAAGCAACGCTCACATGAAAGGGTGAGGCTCATGTGCAAAGGAGAGATAAGCATTCACACATGAAGAGGGTGATGTTGGACACTCATGTGAGGCATAAGCTAGTCGAAAGCTAAAGATTTGTCATCCAAGTGATTAAAGCATCAGGCTACAAGATTGATCTTAGCCCATAACCTAAGCAGCTTAAGTTTTTGTTGTATTAGTCAAAAGAAATTGTAAGATAAGACTGGAAAGAGTTTTCGAAGTATTGATTGGAACTTAATATATGCTTTCGAGCTGTGTTTAACAAAGATGTCTAAGAACTTTAGGCATAGCAATCAGTTTGATCAATGCACTGTAATTTACTAGGACAGTTTGGTGACATTGATCATGCAATATAGAAGTCAAAAGCATAATAAGAATCTTCCCGTCCTTTTTGGATCAGCAGGTAACTAAAGTTTTCTTCATCTTCTTCTTCGTAACAGGGATATTAACCACTTGAAGCACTATCCAAACTGTGAAACAACTATAACACAAATCTACGAAGGCACTACATTTACTCTGTCAATTCCTCTGGTATATCCTCCTACGAAATTCTTTAATGTCTTTATGCCACTTTGGGCAGTTGATTATCAAAAAGCATCTGTTAATTGTAATCATGAACTTATCTTATAATCTAAGTGAAATTATAAAGATGTCATAATGCTTGTTAAAATTTCACTTGCAGCTTTAATATTCCTTGCACACTTCAGATCTAAAACTTCCATGTTCCAACATGGACGAAGCTAATGGTGTCACAAGACCCTTATACACAATGTTGACTGGTGCAGGTTATCACGAAGATGTTAGAGAAAATGAAAACCATGTACCAAAATAATGTTCTTATGGAGCATGTTTGCATTTGAACATGCCAAAATGGGAAAATAAAAACATACCATAAAGTCAGACACTCCAAAGGACAATTGCAAATCATGTAAATCATCATCCCAAAACGAAGCTTTGCCTGTATTAATTAAAATTTGAAGGGGGTAACTGAAGTCTCATTTATAAGTAAAAGAGAAAATACTTCCATCAATATATTAATTTACCCTTATTAGAGACACAAAAGTAGTACTCAATAGAATACAATTTTGTGCCATGCTTCATTTCAGATTTGACCTTATATAATTTTTTCTGTGAACCCAAGCATTCTGCACCCTTTTCCTGCATACAGATAGAAAAAAGATATCAATCTTTAGGTAGGCCTGACACACCACATATCACAGATGTACAATATTAGATAATTCCTAGGAACTAAAATGGCACAAACAACACTCAGGAATCAGTTACGAGTTTCTCAAAAGCAAAATTGCCATAAACTACAAAACTAGTGAATGAAATAAAGACGAATTGGTTTCAAGACATCAATCAGTGCTACCTTAACCTAATCTGAAACTTGATGATATTTATCAACTAAGCTAGCAAATTAATATTGAAAAGTTTCAGAAGATAAGTAGATGAAAGAAATGACCTTGAAGTCTCATTTTTGTTTGTATCAGATCTTCAGTAAATTATAGTCGGTGTGATAATTAAAAGGAGCTAAATCATAATTCTTTTCTCTTTTAAACTGTTTGTGGCATACAATATATCCTCTTTAAATTTTGTGTTTCTTTTGTTCTCAAAGATGACCAGCTTATACATCCAAAACAACACCAGACAGCATCCAAGTAAAAGCAAAATGAAAGGCCATTAACTGTCAGCAGTTTGGGTTCATAAATTGCCTCTAAAATTCAAATTTTGACCTGACTTTAGTGTATGAGTTTAGCATCCAGAAAAAGCATAGTCAATACCAAGGATCACCATTTCAAGCACCAGTGACCAGACCTGTTTCAGTGATCTAGTCAGACCAATATGTATGAGTCGGTACTAGCTTACCAACACATGGTACATCGGTGCATACCTGTGTTTCAGAGAGGAAGAAAAAGAAGGAGAAGAGGAAGGTGCGGAAGAGGAAGGGGGAAGGAGGAAGAAGCATGAAGGAAGTGGAAGGAAGAAGAAAAGAAGGTGGAGGAAGAGGAGGAAGAAAAGGAGACAGTGGGAGGAAGTGGAGGAAGTGGAGGAAGAAAAGGAGACGGGAGACGATGCACAAAGAGGAAGAAGAAGAGATAGTCGAGAAAAAGGAGGAAGAAGAGGGGATGGAGAAAGGAGGGAGAAAGGAGGGAGAGGATAGAGGAAAAAGAAGAGGAAACTTACCCATCGAACACGCACGACGAGTGGCGAGTGGCAAGCGGTGATGAGCGACAGTGCGAGACAAGACATGCTCACGTTCAGGCGAAGAGGGCTCACAAACATGAGCCCTATATGTTTAAATGGGTTGAAGTGGACCTGTTTTGGAAGGTCAAAGTGGACTACCCGAAACGAGGGTGGTCCGCATAACAGTTCACGGCCGAGTCGGTACATACCGCAAATTTTATACTAGTCAGAGCAAAATGACGATCCTTGGTCGATACTACTTAAAGGTAATAGCTTTCTTCAAAGCGGAATGCAATCACTTGAACAGTTTTTAAGGTCAAAATAACTTTTGCAACCTCCAACACATGCTTGGTAGTAAACGCTACATTTATTACTCAATAGATGCAAACTTCTCAAACCAACATTTTGGACAGTGAAAATTATTTAAATGTTTCAATAAGCAATATATACAAATAGCAAAAGGAAATAAAATCAAAGAAACTTGCAATATTAACCAAAGTATAACATAGAGAAATGCCAGTAAAATCTATCTTAAAATGGATATGACAGTGGAAAGGAAAAGTAGTAAACCCTCATCAAGTGCCCATCTAAGTCATCAAATAGGATAAGGTACTAAGAAAAGTAGGTTCTGTGTACTTCCACATACAATGCAGTATCAGTCCCCTATTCATGAGATAATCTTACTCTAAAAGTGTTGTTGGGAAGAACAAATTTTACAAAAAAAACTAGGTCATGATTATTGGTAAACATATATTATCAAGAAAAAGAGAAAAATATTATACCACCAAATTCTTTGGACCATCAACCATCCATACTCGACAAATGGCCTCAATTTCAGAAATAAACCTAGAACAAAATACAAAGGTTCAGTCATTTCCTGTTACCAAAAGAACGAAAAAGTGAAAAATCAGTTTGCCAGTATTTGCCAAAGACAAGGGAACAAACTATATATTTGTAGCAACCACACTGCAAGAGATCTGTAGATACATCCAGCACATAGAGAAGAGGTACCTTTCCCAGGAAGATGCAAGTGTGAAATCATCAAAGCCCTCAATCTACAGAGGAAAAATTGAGAACATATTTGTTATCACCCACAACTGTTAAGTACTGAAAAAAGAAGCTTTTCATTCAGAAAAGAGATGTTCACATTTAAGTTTTAGGCACTAAAAAATGCAATTTATGACTCTGACTTCCTAATATATTGGTGATATCATTGTTTGCAATATCGTACCATATCGTACCGCTCGATATAGGCGATACATACTGGTACGAGCAGTACATCGATACACCTTAGTGTACCGTGTGTTGGGATGCTCAGTACAGCTAGATGCGTACTGTACCGACAGCTGATCTGTATATCGATATGGTACGGTATTCAAAACCTTGGGTGATATATCCTTCAAATCCAGAACATTAATGACCAGATGCAAGGATTGTCATTTTATTGAAATGCCCCCGGCAATTATTTGCCAACACAGTATATACAACAAAACCAAGTTGCAGAAAAGTAGTATTAAGCAAAATAATTCATAAAAAAATAGCACCATAATAATCACACTACATAACCACACTATTTAACCACAACATACTGGTCTATCACATAAAGATTGTCTGTGCATTTCCAATTAAGTTGTATGATTACATCTACAATTATGTAATCAAGTTTACAAGATCACTTAAGAGCAATCACGATTAAATAGCCAAAAGCAAACAAAGGTCCATTGATAACATAAACATTGCAGTAAATTTACCAAAAGACAATCGAACTAAAATAAAAAATCACTGTGGATTCCTACAAAAGAATGGGCAAGCAAGGCCAAGCAGATGAATTAAAGTGTGAGCCAGCTTGAAGGACAAAAACAAATGTACAATATGCAGTTAAGGAACTATCCTTTATGGATTTCTGATTAACCTTCTTTTTAAAAGGCTACATATTTTATGTTGCCAACAGCAGTTTTACAAAAGACATTAAATGTTCCTTTATGAATATAATCAACTATTTGGACTAATTTTCTGTAATAAAAAGAAACGAACGAAGATCTAATTAAGCCATTGGCTCAGTGGAATAAATCCTTGTTGTAAGCATTTATGACGTGTGTTGTTTTGACAAAAAAAAAGGCATGACCAACATATTGAAATCTTGGCGCAGAAGCCTTCCATGTAATTTATCAATCAACTTTTGAAAAAAGGGGGAGAATGTGAAAGATAAGAACAAAATGAACTGCAAGAAGTATTTTATTTCAGGATAATCAAAACAGAGGAACTCAAAATGAGCCCTAAACTGACTTGCAATCCATTCTCAAACTATCAATCTCTACTAAAGATATGTAACTGAAAATTTGGTCCACTTAAAAAAGTAACCGAACTTTACAACTTATGCGCTGGATCATGTGGATGATAAAAGGGACATGTAATCTCTATGTTACAAAAAAAAAAAAAAAAGTTAAGCGATCATTAAGAGACGATTTATCGAAAGATTAATCAAAACAGCATAACTGCAAGAAAATTGCAAAGAAAGAACAGAATACTTCAATCCCTATGCCACAAACATGGTTCTTGCCAATACAGATCATCAAGAGATCCAAATTGGAACTATCTCAACCCCACCACCAACAGCAAGAAAATAGATAGTCTCTCGATACAATTGAGAAAAAGTTGACATTCCTACCTACACAAAATAAGATCTAATAGTTTGTCAAGAAGCATCATATCAAGTCCAATTATCACCACCATTTTCGGAAGATTCCAAGAAGGATCAATTAGTAAATAATAGGATTCGATATGATCCTTCTCGACACAGTTACGAATCTTTGATTTCTAAGAACAATTTCGGATCCTCCAGCTAATTTAAACAACACAAATCAGCCGTCAAGAATCAGACGAAAACCGAATCTTTAACCGAACAAACGAAAGATCGAGCAATATGAGGAAGAAAGACTTCGCAAATCCAAAAGATGGAGCACTAATTTCAGGGTTGAAGCAATTTTCTTGACATCGCGAGATCTAAAGAGAAAAGAATATCTTCGAAGGACGAGACGGGAAGCAATATACCTCCTCTAGCGTTTCTTCTTCCTCCTCCTCCTCCTCTTCCGCGATTCTTTTGTGCTTCGCATTGCTGGAAGACGCCATCGGCGATTCCCTTCCCCCGACGACTTCCGAGCAGCCAAACAGAACAGGGCGACGAACGAGAGATCTTGAAATACCGGGTAGATCATCACCCGAGCACAGAAGAACCGTACCAGCGGTCGACGGTCGGGTCGGCGTTGGATAGTCGTACATATTCGACCCGAACCCGACCCGACCTAACTCGGATCCGAACCAACAGTCAACGCGTTGACCAAACTGACCCGCTAAGAACAACAGTAAAGAATTCTCTCAAATAAAATCCGATTTCATGATGACTAATGAAGTCAAACTTTTTAACGACATTTGCTACAAATCGTATTCAATATATTGCCAATTAAACAAACACTTCTCCATGTTTAAAGCGTTCAATGTAGTAAACAGAAGAAAGTGAAGTGAATAGAGGGGACGATTTAAGGCGTTGTTGGCCGTATGTTGTTCCCGTTCGGAAATTAGAAACATATTTAAAATATATATTAATTTATATATAATATATAAAATTATACTTATTCATATAAGTATATATAATTATACTTATTCATATAACATATTAAAAATATATATTAATTTATATATAATATATAAAATTATTTTAAAAAAGATATATTATTCTAGGAGAAATCAAGTTGTCCTTAAAAAATATTAATTTTATATAAAATTATCTTAAATTCATCATAAAACTAAAAAACTTGAGTGATCCTTAAAAATATATTAATTTTATATAAAATTATCTTAAATTACTCAGAAAAATCATTACGCACGAGTTCACAAAACATATTTAAAATGTATTAATTATATATAAAATTATCCTACATTCATCATAAAAATAAAAAAGTTTTAGTGATCCTCAAAATTAAATTAATTTTTATATAAAATTTATTCTAAATTATCCAAAAAATGCTAAACTTTAATTACCCTCGAGCTATACTCAGAACATATTAAAATATATTAATTTTTATATAAAAATAATTCTAAATTCATTATAAAACTAATCACAAAATCTTATCTTTCATATTTTCTATTTCCTATATTGTCCTAGTCACACTCCAAATTGAATTAAATTGAGTTCGATCACCTAACTTATTTTAAAAATAATATTTTTTTTATTTTGAAGATGATTTTAAGATAATCAATTATCAAAATTTTGGGAATTCTATTAGAATGTTCTAACAAACACTATATTTTTTTATAATAAAATTAGAATAAATTTATATAAAAATTAATATATTATTAATAAAATTTGTGGATCAGTATAATATTATAATCAAGTATAATTTCAGCGTGATATTATTTTTTTAATTAATATATGATGAGAGCGAACGAAGGAGGAGAAGGGAAAGGAGGGGGATGAGGAGTATAAGACAAAAGAGGAGGAAAAGGAGAGAGAAGGGGAGGAAGCAGTAGAGGTGCAGGTGAAATGGAAGGAGGTGGAGTGAGAGGAGGAAGAAGCCAAGGAAGAGGAAGAGGAAGAGGATGAGGAAGCCAATAATGTGGAAGAGGAGGGGGATGAGGCGATGGAGTGGGAAGAGAAAGAGACGGTAGAGGTGGAGGTGAAGTGAGAGGAGAAGACAGAGGTGGAGTATAAGAGAGATGGAGTGGGAGGAGAAGGGAGAGGAAGAGGAAGCTGAGGAGGAGGGGGAGGAGGTGACTTAGTGAGTGGAGGAGATGATGGAGATGGAGTGGGAGGAGGAGAAAAGTAGAGTGAGAAGAGGAGGAAAGAGAGAATTTATTGATCTAAATTGATTCGTTAGACTAAACCGTTTTGACGTGAGCTGATTGCCCGATATATATATCTCCAATGCCATCAAGCTCATAAAGCCATACCAATCTGCGAAGTGGCGAGGAGAAATCGCAGAATGAATGCTGAACAATGGAGGCAGCCGAATCGGAAGAGTGAGTACAAGCACACCCCCAAGGTGTTCGAAAATGGCCGCCAGCAGCAAACCACAGCATGTCTCTTCTCGAGAAAGGGAATCTCGCATGTCCCAATGCCGCCACCCAGATCGGCCTTCTCTCTTCCATTCCACCAAATGGCATCATGCCACCTTCGCACGACCAGCGTCTCTCTCTGTCTCTCTCTCGTGCATGCGAGCGTTTAGCCATGCAGCAAGTATAGACGGAGCCATCACAGTCCACAGGCGCAGACTTTTTCGTCTCTTTTGGTACCACACAATATATTAATGCTGCTGCTGCATATGACCACCGCCCATGCCGCCCAAAGAGGGCAACCTCGAGGGAATCCCTCTGCGCTCTTCTCCCATCCCCGAAGCTCTTCGTTCCCCACACAAAGGCGCAGACTACTTCCCGCCGATGGATCATAAGCTCAGTTCTCCAATAGAACAGTACCAGCTCGCTTTTCAATGTAGCTCAAGTGCTACCAGCACCAACACGATCTCTGAGGCGGCCGCCGGTGGGGATGGTCCCACCGCTAGCTCTGGCAGGAAGGGGAAGGGAAAGGGTGGGCCGGAGAACCGGAAGTTCAGGTACCGTGGAGTGCGGCAGCGGAGCTGGGGAAAGTGGGTGGCGGAGATTCGAGAGCCGAGGAAGCGGACCCGCAAGTGGCTGGGGACATTCTCCACTGCTGAGGACGCCGCCAAGGCCTACGACCGGGCGGCGCTCGTCCTCTACGGCCCACGAGCGCAGCTTAACCTCCAAAGACCCTCCACTGCCGCAGCCGGCCACCACTTAAACGTCACCGCAACTACCTCCTACTCTTCCTCCACCACCACTCTCCGGCCGATACTCCCTCGCCCCTCCACCATCCACTTCCCCGTACTTCCACACCCCAACATCCCCACTTCTAACACCTACCCGCCGCTGTTCCTTCACGCCGACATGACGAGCAGCCCGATCGTGGCCCCGGAGCCCGTAGTGGAGCCGCCAAGTGTGGAGGTCGAAACGGTGGCGGCCGCGTCCGAGCCAGCCGTGATGTCGGGCCCTATCCATCCCAGCTTCAGCGATCCGACGGCCTTCAAGGAGATCAACTCTTTCGCCGGGTCAATGACATCGAGCTTCTCAGTCTCCTGCCCGCCGGTGATGACGACGGAGAGCTCAGGCTCCGCGCCGCTTGTGTCCTCCCCGTTGTGGGGTTACGACGACTACGATGTCGAGGCTTCGTGCCTGTGGGATGACACCGACCCATTCTTCTTTGACATATGAGTTGGAGGAATTAGGGATTACTTCAGCATGCATGGTTTGATTCCAACAGTGAAAGATTCTTCGATTTAGTATCGTTGTGTTTCTTAGATTCTTTAAAGAATCCTGTTGCCTTATGGTAGTACGGCACAAGGACATCCAAGCTAGGGTTTTGTGATGAATGAAGGACCAATAAGGAAGAAAGGACTGCTGCATGTATGGAGAAACATGCAACAGATGGGTAAGCTATTATGTATATACTTCGTTGATTGTTGATCTTTTATCTTTGTTATGTTCATGCATCTATTCTTTCAAATTGTTTTCATATCCAATGAAGGATGCTTCATTCTTTGATTCTTTATGCTGCATCAGTATCGAGTAACGTAGCAGGAATAACAAGAAGATGGAGTTCTTCAATAGCTTTGTGCATTATTACTGTGGCTCTATTTATGCAGATGGAAGGAGGTGAAATTGGAAAGAGAGAGCAATCACACAATAAACATGATTTATGTCAATGTGTGCACAGTAGAAGATGGTAAGAAAATAATTTCTGCTTCTGCAAATAAAATATAGGAATTTAATTACTTGTATAGTGGTCTTGTAGTATACATGTAGTTGAGTCTTATAGTAAGATTTCCACTGCTGCAAATCAAGCTTTACTATATGTAACACAGACAGTTCTTTGCATCAACAAGACCTTTGCTCAGAGTTAGTGAGATAAAACCTTAGGACGGTGGGAGAAACCCGATCGGCCTCCACTTCTTCCGTGAGTTTCCAACCTCGTGATCAGATTGAAACCTTCCCTCACCTCAGTCAGTGTGTTCGCGCAACCCTCTCCTTTGGCGATCTGCTTCCTTCAAGCGGAGCGAATTCTGTTGCCCGGTCGTCAAAGGCTCTTAGTGCTCAACCTCCCTTCTTCCACGAAGGCTCTTATAGGTGTATCCGGCGAGGCTAGGGCTTCCCCCTTAAGGAAAACCCATCTTCTTGGCACTTGTAATATATAATTCTCTACTCCCTCATGATTCATCGGAGTCGCTTCTTTTGTCACTTTTTTTCGATAAAATCAAGGATTCTTCGGTTGTTAGAGTCTTTGTGCTCGGTGGTAATTTAGTCTAGCTGGTGACAAAATGTCTAAAGAGGATAGAAGCTACAGATTATGAAAAAAGTTCTATTGCATCGAAGTTCTCTCCCTATTTATACAGGTTAAGAGGGAGGATTTTCCTCGACAGAGTAGAGAGATTTCATCATGCAGTTAGGAAAATCTTGCCCCCGCAAGATGGTGCTCGGATACCAATCTTTGATCAATGTAATACAAATAGTTTACGAGCGAAATGCTTGGTGAGTGAGTTGGCTAATTGATCAGTCGTATGTACATGAGAAACATGAAGTTGATGGCGGACAACTTGATCTTGCACAAAGTAGAAGTTGATAGTAATATGTTTCATGCGAGAGTGAAACACCGGATTAGCGTGCAGATATGTAGCTCCAATATTATCACAATATATTATAGGAGAGGAACCGATGTTGAGTTCCTTCAACAAAATTGTGACTCAATTTTCTGCAGTGGCAATGGCGATGACATGGTATTCAACTTCAATTGTAGACCGAGTGACTGTATTCTATTTCTTAGAACTCCAACTGATTGGATTAGCGCTAAGGAAAACAATATACCCCGATATGGATGTTCGATCATCAAAGTTGCTTACCCAATCAACATCGGTAAAGGCATGAAAATAAAGTGGAGAGTGTTTACGAAGAAAGAGACCATGATTGAGGGTCCCCTTAAGATATCGCATGACTCGTTTGATCGCAGACCAGTGCATAGTAGATGGCCTCTGCATAAATTATGATAATTTATTGATTGCAAAAGAGATGTTTGGATGGGTGAAAGCTAAGTACTGTAAGGAGCCAACGACTTGTCGGTATTGAGTGAGCTCAGCATTAGAACTTTCATCAGATAATTTGAGAGAGCCACTAGTAGAGAGAGGAGTTGTAATCGCATTTGCATCCTGCATGTTTGTTTTTGATGATAAATCTTGAATGTACTTTCTTTGAGAGAGAAAGAGACCGGAAGATGTAAATGTAGCTTCGACGCCTAGAAAGTAGTTCAAGAGTCCTAGATCTTTAAGCGAGAATCGATCTGTCAACTGTTTAATGAATGTTGGAGGAGGATAAATCTATAGCAATTAGGTGGAGAAATTTGCAACGATTATGTGGAGAAATATGCAGTGAGGAGGTGAAGAAATCGTAGTCGACGAAGAGGGCCCAATCGTGGTAACCGACGAGGTAAGGGGAGCTCGCGATTGTCACCCACTAGTTCTTTCCATTAGGCGACCAAGGAGTCGCTCGACATGGTGGCGAGCCACATGGTAGTGCTTGACTGCCACCTCCGTCGTCGCCTAGTACTCACTAGGCCGACGTCAGGTTCTACCACTCGTCTGAGCGGGTGGTGCTCGGGAAGCCGGCGGAGGTGTCATAACCGGTGAAGAAGAACTCGGTGCTCTCGGTGGGGCTACGTTTGCGCTAGTAGAGACCAGTCGAGCGGAGATTGGACTAGCGAATGGGGAAGCAGGTTCGGCGGGGAAGTTGGTTCACTTCTGCTAGTTATAGGTGCCCAACAAGCCAATCACGTGAGTGATGACACATGTGGCTTGACATGCAGTCTTTTTGCTTATTATATTTTAGCATTTTATTACTTTATATCGACTATTATATATATATATATATATATATATATATATATATATATATATATATATATATATATATATTGTAATGTCCTTAGATCTGTGTAATGAGAATCAGAACGTGATGAGATCATGATAATGA